TTACGGTTAATGCAAAATGTCTCAAGGATAACTCAGGTTTGCTCCTGCAAGAAGATGGAAGTTTTGCAGGAGGTCAGCAGAGGCCATGATGATGGACTACTCTGTAAAACTCCATCAGAGGGACAGAGACACAAAGAAAAGAAGAAAGGGCAACAGCTTCCTCCCTTCACCTGGAAAACTCTTCTCCCTCCCACTCACAGTGAGAAAAAGACCAAAAAAGCCGGGAGTTTGGGGGGACAGGAGAGAGGCGCCCACACGACGTGGGACTGAGCTGTCTCGAGGCTGCAGATACACAATGGTTTTGGAGGACAATCCCCAGTAAAAGAACTAATTTCATTATGTACAGAGGATCCTCAGCTAAATTCATCCTCTCTTTTCATTCAAAACATGTCCACTGGATTTGGAAGAAATTCAAGAATCCTGACCTTCCAAGAATCCTGACCTTCCAAAAATCCTACGGCAGGCGCTAAGAGCAGGTTCAGTGGACAACTAGCTAGAGAATAGCATGAAGAGGCACCTCCGCAGATTAAGATCTTAAAATTGCTTTTGCCTACAAATTTGCTGCCGCCTGAACCTCTGCATGTGGGGCAACCGTGCATTTGACGTGTGACCCCTGAGCGGGGACATCCCATCCCCAGCTCTTTGCTGCAGCTCCCGGAAAATAATTCACCGAGGTCTCCTCCCTCCCCAGAGTTTAATTTCGCTGCTGTACCAAAGGGGTTCCTCCTCCCTCCCCTGGGGGCTAGACCACTTCAGAAATGGGATTCGCCAGGGCTGGCAGCCTGCTGTGACCTTTGCCTGTTCGAGTAATGCACGATAACGAGAGATCTGAGATACTTCTGAACACACAGCTTGGCAGGATGTTAATTAAAACAGAGTAAGGCTACCTCTACCGTTTGCAGGGTTGTAGCTCAGAGCACTTTATGAGTGCCTAGGAGGTAAAGGAACATGTTCAAGGCCACACAAAACATCTGTGAGAGAGCCGGGAGTAAATCCAAGTGCTTTTTGTTTATGTTATCAGCATACGACCTGGCGTATGCGATGAATCCAGGACAAGACCAGGTGGATGCACCAGAGACCAGTGGCATGAGAAGGCAGAAAATTTGCTTCCAATCGCTTCGCTTGAAAGGGAAAGAGCATCTTGCCTCCATCCTCGCTCGCACACACCAGCAGCAAACCATCACTGTCCAAATCGCCTTTGTAAAGGTCACCACGGTCCCTCGCTCCCCTGTCGGATGATAAAGAGGTTCAGTCTGTTGCTTCCAAATTCATAGCTCCTTTGGGTGCCGGGATGGCCGGAGTTCTGCTTCGTTTTACCACCTTGTCGTGACCTGGGTTTTCTTAGCAGTTATTTGTTTTTATTTATTTAACTGCATAAACTGATTATCCATGTAACAACTTCAATCAATTATCTGTGGCAAAGAACTTCTCTGGAACTTAATTAGCAAAGTTCTTCCCTGACCTAGCAATATCTGATTGCATCATATAAGAGCTTAACTTTGAAATGGCAACACAGTTCATTAAAAATAACTAATAGCTGCAGGGTTTAAAGATGTAAATGTTAATTTTCTTAATGAGAAAAAAAAAAGGGCATGCAGACTCTACCTGTCTATATTCATTATACTGTGTCCACATGGGATGACTCACATTTGCAAAACTCAGGTTTAATTAACATGCTTATTTTTACAATGATATTTCTCATTATAATAAATTAAATGTTTAAACAGCCAGTGCAAACATTTTGATCCAAGACAAAAATGCTTGCACAGTGCTAGTTTAAGCATTTAATTTATTATAATCCTTTCCATAACAAATGCCTTAGAAGTTGATTTTTTTTTTTTTCTTTTCCACTGTGAAAGGCTATTAGTATTATTTCCTCTGGTAATGTTTAATCCAAGACAATCAAAAATGTAAGGCGTGAACAAAACCGGACTGGAAGCAACGATGATAAATGAGATAGTGAAGGAATCTGCCTGCGCCGGAGCCTGCAGCTGGTGCCAGCTCTGCGGCCAAGCTGCACCCTGGCAGGCCGCGTTGTCATGAGGAACTTATACACCAATTAATCAATTTAATGATGCATTTCATCCCGGAGAGCATCTACCCCCCGGGCGTACCCGGGGAGGGGTCTTTTCTAAAAAAGAGCCCCTTCCAGTGGGAGTTTGCTTTCTTTTAAACCCCATCCCAGCTGGACAAGGGGGATGGATGTGGGTTCTGACCGGGGGGGAGATGTCAAAGCCCCCCCCGCTGCCGCCGGGACCCCCGCACCCCCCGGGGCGGCCGCTAGATGGGGGTACGGACCCGGCGGTCCTTGCCCTGCCGTGGCCGGGGGAGGGAGGGCCCGAAAATTGGGGCTGGGG